GGTCACCACACGCACAAGCGAACGACTACCGACACCGGTACACGGGTACCGGGGTCGACAACCGCACAACGGGCACGGGCGACACCGAAAGGACGAGGACGGGGCAGCGAGGGAGAGGGATCCTTACCACCACGCGACGAGGCGTGGGAACGACAACGACGAACGGGCGCGGCGGAGACAGCTCAGGGACGATGGAGGCGAACGGCGAGGGAACGACTTCGGCGGCGATCCTTGGACGAAGGCGAGACGCGGCCGGCACAAGGCTTGACGACGCGGAGCCGAGGACGAAGACGACGACGGGGCTGCTGCACACTTGACGAAACGCGGGCGGCGGACGAGAATGGCTTGACGGAGGGACGAACGCCACAACGAGCGAAACCGGGAACGACGAGAGGACGACGACGACGACGACCGGAGCCGGCGAGGAGGCGACGAGGGCAGCCGGCAGCGGCTGCACGGAGACGAGGACGGCGTGTTCCACGCCGCAGCAATGCCGACGACGGAGGCGGCGCCGCGAGATGACGAGCCGGCGAGGAGGAACGATGACGACGACGACGAACACCGGCGGGGTTCGGTCGAAGGGGAGGCGAGGCCGAGGGCGGCGTCGCGGCTGCGATGCCGAAGGTGGTGGAGGTGCGGCCGACCGGTGCACGGGTGAGGAGGGACGGGCGGCCGAACAACTCCGGCGAGGCGGATGGAGAGGTTCGCGGCGATGTGCGGCGGCTTCCGGGCGAAACCGAGGGGTGGACGAGGTGGAGGGCTACGTCACCGTGCCGAGGGAGGGGACGGCAGCGCCGGCTGACGCACGGGCATGGCGAAAGGGGTTGCCGGAGGAGACGTCGACGAGGAGGAAGGTGAGGCCGGCGCGGGCGACGGTGTTCCGGTGAAATTCGGGCGAGGAGGAGGTGATGCCGGGGATGAGAGCAGCGTCGCGGAGCCGAGGGAGGTGGTGGCAACGTCGACCGGCGCTCAGGCAGGGAGACAGAGGCGGCTGGAGGCGGCCGGCGCGGAGGAAAGGGAAGGGCGACGGCGGGAACGCAGCTCCGGGGGTCACCGCGCGAAACGGAGGGTAGGCCGTGGGAGAGGAGGCGGCTGCGACACCGGGGAAGGCGACGGCACGGCCGGCCGGCGTGGTGACGCGGCGGCAGGGGCGGCTGGAGGAAGGCCGGCGCCGGAGGGAGAGAAGGAGAAGGCGGGGAGAGGTGGTGAGGCCACGGGGGGGCTCGGGAGGAGGCTAAAACGGTAGAACGCAAAGAGGGGGTTCCATTTTATAGGATGGGGGAGGGAGCCGGGCATGGGAGAGGGCGGAACGGCGACGAGAAACACGGCCGGCGGCCATGGTTGGTGGCCGGGAAAGGCGCGGCCGTTCCCGATGATTGAAGGCACGAATCAAGGGGGAATTTGGGGGGAATGAAAGAGGATGGAAAGGGGATTAATTCCCCCCCAATTAATTTTGGAATCCCCGGTTTGAATGAGGCGGATTTGGAGGAGGGAGCGAGCTAGGTTTCCGGGAGAGAGAGAGAGGAGGCCAGGCGGCTGGAGGAAGGAGACGACGACCGGGCGCGCGTGCGGCGCGCGTGAGGGGGAGCCGGCTCGGGAGGCTGGGGCGGCTGGGGCAGGGGCGCGGCGTGGGCCGGGCGGCCGGCCCAGGAGGAGAGGAGGGGAGGGGTGGCCCGGGGAGAGAGGGAGGAGGGAAGGAGTGGGCCGGGGAAGGAGGGAGGACGGCCCAAGAGAGAGAGGGAAGGAAAAAGAGAGGGAGGAGGGAACGACTTCGGCCGCGGGCCGGGGGAGAGAGAGGGAGGCTTTGGGCCAGACTTGGCCCAAAGGAGGGAGAGGGATTATTTTTAGGTTTTTCTTTTTAATAAACTTTGATAATTGTTTTTGTTGCTTAATAATTATTTCCGGTGCTCTGAAAATTCAAGTAAAATTTGAGGGCTCCTTTTAGACCAAGGAGAATTTAACAAAAATTCTCCGGGCCACATTCGAATTTTTTTCTTGTACGTATTTTAGTGTTTGCCAATTTCTTTTCGAATTTTAATTAATTCTATTATTCCTTTCAGCGAATGATTTTTAATTCGGGATGAATTTATCAGGACGTGACAGAGGCATCCCTCCACCTCTATTCCCCTCCCTCTCCCTCCTAGCCGCCCCGGTCGTGCACCGCCGCCTTTGCGCCGCCGCCTCCCGCCGCCGGTTGCCGTCGCCGGCAACACGCGCGCGCGCCGCCGCCCTTGCCATAGCCGGCCGGCCGGCTTTGTGCCGAGCCGAGCCAAGCCAGGCCACCGCCGCACCGTCCGATCGGCCCCGGGCCGATCCGGGCCGTCGATCCCGTGGACCGGCGGTGGACCACCCGCGTGGTCCCGGTCCACGGTAGACCGGCCCCCGTGCGCCACTGACATGCGGGCCCCGCCTGTCGGCGCCGCCCCCCCGATGACGTCAGCCCTGGGATTTATTGCACAATAAATGATTTAAGGACTTTTGTTATAGTAATAAATACAGTGAATCTTCTAAAATTCATAACTAATTCATACGTGCTCCGTTTAAGCCCATTCAAGTCTCAGTAAATCAAGAAAAATGTGTAGCATCTATTAAAAATGGTTTTGTTCTCTGTTTCAGTAGTCTTATAGCCTGTTTGTATTGTTTGCTTGGTATGTCGCTTAGATTCCGGTTCTTCTGACGCTCCGGTGTACTTCGAAATAGTCGCCGAGGTTCCTCCAACAGCGGAGCAAGGCAAGTCATACTTGTCACTTGAACATGTTGATCCTATATTGCAAATGCTCTATTGTTTTTCTTCAAATACTGCATCGTTTTATAATGTTACTATGGGGTATTTACCTATTGTCATAGCCATGCTATTGTTGTACCATGTTCCTTTGTTAGCTTGGGTTATAACATGACTAGAGATTGGACTAGGGGTTGCTTAGCCATGCTTAGTTCAACTAGTACACAATGGGGAAAATCCTATTAATGTTTAGACTGTTGGTTCTAATGGTATTGTTGGATTAGTGCCACTGCTTTGGTGTTGGTTAATTAAAATGAATCACATGGTGGGCTGTGGGTGCATGGTTTTGCTGGTCGCACCCATGGCAGTTAAGGACCCGTTCGCGGGATGCCCTGGAAGAACTTATCGTACTTGCCACAAGCCAGCGTGGGCAACGGCTGGGCTTATAGTGTAGCTTTCCTCTAGCTGACGCATCCAGGCAAGGGTGGGCGTGATGGAGCGGGGCGGGCCCTGCGACGGCCTCTGTCTCTTCCGGATTCACCTAAGCATGAGAGGGGACTGCCCACTGCCTTGCAAGGAGTGGGGGTGAAACTTGAGGTGTGGTGTGCTTGGTTAGAGGGGGTTATGCGAAGGGTCCTGTCACGGCCTCTTTCCGGTATGTCGTGGTGGCATGTTGGCGCACGGAAACGTGTCGTGGGGCTGTGTCTTGTGGGTACAGTTGTACACCTCTGATCAGAGTAAAACTATTCGAATAGCCGTGCCCGCGGTTATGGGCGGTCAACCAGATTCACCGTGATTAGTCTCACCCTAGTTTAGTCTAATGAAATTGGATAGTATAGGTGGATGGTTGGGCCTGTCGCAACGTGGTATAGCGTTGGATAGTGGATGAATAATATTGATTAATTATCAGGACTGTTTAATTCTTTTAACTTCTGTTTATAAATGCTCGCTTTAATGCAAATGAACCTTTATGCAAATGAACCACTCTAGCTCTCCTTTGATAATTCCCTGCATCATACCCCTATTCCGGTATGACTTGCTGAGTACAGTGGGTAGTACTCAGTCTTGCTCTATTTTCCCCAACCCCAGAGTACGAGTATGTGTCAGATGGTGGTTTCTCCGAGGAGTAGGCTTCGTCCGTGCCGTCGAGGATGCCTGTGGAGTTGTGTTCCCGCTGCAGATCAAGTCAAGGCTTAGCTCCAATTATCTTTCATTTTTCCGCTGTATTTATGTAAGACTTTTATGATGTTTGTAAGACATGGATCTGAATGTTAACATTGTCGTTTGTGTACCCCGGCCGGTCCTGGACGGGGATTTTAATGCACATTCTGCTTGGAATTCTATTCGGGAATTTCTGGGCGTGACAGGCAAGGAGTTGGGGTTTCTCATCGATCTGCCAGATCTTCAGTTCTTGATCCAGCGCACGATTTTTTGCATTCAAGTTAGCAGAGAGATCAAGCGTCTCGGGGGGCGATGATGGCGGGCATGTCGTCGGAGGCGGAGGAGAAGATTGAGCCACCTGACGAGTTCTCGGACGAGGTGTTTATTAGAGATATAATATGGTTTAGATTTGCATAGGCTTAGAGATAAGTCTAGAGTTTGTTTCTCACATGAAACAATGTTTTATCTCTTGTAATCGGATCCAAACTGATTCAATCTTGTAAGCCACGTTGAGGGTTCTTCTCAACAACATATAAATATACATACGCTGCTTCGAGACGAGGTGAGAATGGTTACGCACTTTTACATGGTATCAGAGCCTTCTCGCCACGACTAGATCAAACTAGCGATGGCATCCTCCTCCGGCGCTGCCGTGAATCCTCTCTTCGGCCAAGCTATTTCAGAAAAGCTGACGAAGAACAATTTCTCGCTATGGAAGACGCATATTCTCCCAGTGATTTGCGGCGCACGTATGGAAGGTTATCTGACCGGTGCAACACAAGTTCCATCGGCGGAAATAGAAGTCAAGGAAGGAGAAAAGGGTGAAATAACCAAGAAAGTTTCCAATCCGGCATATGAGGCATGGATTGCTGCGGACCAACAGGTCCTCGGTTTCCTTCTATCAAGCATCTCCAAGGAGATTCTCATCCAAGTCGCAAACGTCGACACAGCGGCTCATGCATGGAAGATGATCGTCGGCCTTCTGTCGACGCAATCTCGCGCACGAGCCCTGAACACCCGGATTGCGCTGGCCACGACCCAGAAGGGCGAGTCAAGTGTATCCGACTACATTAGCAAGATGAAGACGCTTGCAGATGAGATGGCATCTGCAGGCAAACCTCTCGATGATGAAGAATTCACTTCGTATATCCTCGCTGGTTTGGACAGTGATTATGAACAGGTGGTTTCCTCTATTGTTGGGCGATCTGAGGGAGTCACAATATCTGAAGTTTACTCACAACTTCTTAGTTTTGAAGAGCTTTGGCAAACCAATGGCAGTAGCGGCAGCTACTCCTCTGTCAACAGCGCCAACCATGGACGCAACAATGGTGGCGGTGGAAACTTCAACAATGGTGGCGGCTACTTCTCCAACCGTGGACGTGGTGGTGGTCGCGGTGACCGCGGCGGCTGCGGCCGCGGCAATGGCGGACGCAACTTCAAGCCGCGCCCTACCTGTCAGCTATGCAGCAAGGTGGGACATGTGGTGGCTGATTGCTGGCATTGCTACGATGACTCCTTTGTGCCGGACGCAAGGGTTGCAGCGGCTGCCTCGTATGGTGTAGATTCGAACTGGTACGTGGATACCGGTGCCACAGATCATATCACTAATGAGCTTGAGAAGCTTACAACCCGTGACAGATACAACGGCAAGGAACAAATCCACACGGCGAGTGGTTCAGGTATGGATATTAAGCATATAGGTCAATCTACTATTCGTACCCCTACACGCAATCTATATTTGAGAAATATTCTTCATGTTCCTAGAACCAAAAAGAATCTTATATCTGCACATCGTCTTGCCGTTGATAATCATGCCTTTGTTGAAGTTCACCCTCGGTTTTTTGCTATCAAGGATCAAATCACGAAGAACACTCTTCTTAGAGGACCCTGTTGTAATGGACTCTATCCTCTACCAGCCTCCACGTCTTCATCCAAGCAAGTCTTAGGAGCTATCAAGCCCACTGTCTCAATATGGCATAGTCGTCTAGGGCATCCCTCATGGCAAATTGTTCAAAAGGTCGTGAGTCATAATAATCTCCCATGTCTAGGAGAGTCAAAAGAGTTAGGTGTGTGTGATGCATGTCAAAAGGGAAAAAGTCATCAACTTCCCTTTCTCAAATCTACAAGTGCGTCAAATTTTCCTTTAGAGCTTGTGTTTTCTGATGTATGGGGTCCTGCTCCTGACTCTGTTGGGGGCAGAAAATACTATGTCAGTTTCATCGATGATTTTAGCAAATTTACTTGGATATATCTTCTTAAGCAAAAATCTGAAGTATTCCATAAATTCCATGAGTTTCAACAGCTTGTTGAGAGAATTTTTTATCGCAAAATCATTGCCATGCAAACAGACTGGGGAGGAGAATATGAAAAGTTACATGATTTCTTTACTAAGATTGGCATTAGTCATCATGTTTCATGTCCTCATACACATCAACAAAATGGTTCTGCAGAACGCAAGCATAGACACATTGTAGAGGTTGGGTTATCTCTCCTTGCTCATGCATCCATGCCTTTGAAATTTTGGGATGAAGCTTTCATTGCTGCCACCTATCTTATAAATCGCACACCAAGTAAAGTCATTCAATATGAAACGCCTCTAGAGCATTTATTTCATCAAAAACCCAGCTATACATCCCTTCGGGTCTTCGGTTGTGCATGTTGGCCCAATCTTCGTCCATATAATGCAAGAAAGCTTCAATTCCGTTCCAAACAGTGTGTGTTCTTGGGTTATAGTAATTTACACAAGGGGTTCAAGTGTCTAGATGTAGCAGCTGGTAGAGTGTATATTTCAAGGGATGTTGTCTTTGATGAGAATGTTTTTCCTTTTGCATCCCTCCACTCTAATGCCGGTGCAAGACTACGGTCTGAGATTTTATTGCTGCCACCTACACTTCTGAACCCGGATGATAGTACTGGTAGGGGTACAACAATAGGAGATGACCATATGCTTGATAATCCTGAACATACTAATACTTTTGCTGAAGAAAATGCAGAGAATACAGATCATATAGAGCTGGATTTCAACACAGCCACACAAGATCCGGAGTTCACAGAAGATCATGATGATACGGGCGGAGATTCTCCCGCTCTGTCGTCGCCCTCGGGATCGGGAGCTGCTGTCACGTCGCCGTCATCGTTGCCTGTGATTCCTAAGGCTCCGGTGTCTCCTACTGCCAGCCATTCAGCGTCGGCCACGACTCCAGATGCTCCCGAGGCACATGATTCAGCTACGTCCGCTGCTGCTGGATTTTCTACACCGGTGCCCACACGGCCGGTCACACGGCTACAGAGAGGAATACGCAAGGAATAACTTTATACTGATGGTACGGTACGCTATTCGTTTTTAGCAGTAAATGGTGAACCTCAAAATCTAGATGAAGCCTGTCTAACAAAAATTGGGAAAGTGCTATGGATACTGAGTTTTCTGCCTTGATGAATAATAAAACTTGGCATTTAGTTCCACCAGAAAAAGGGAGGAATATTATTGACTGTAAGTGGGTGTATAAAATTAAAAGGAAGTCTGATGGCAGTTTGGATAGATACAAGGCTCGTTTAGTTGCAAAGGGGTTTGAGCAGAGATATGGAATTGATTACGAGGATACTTTTAGTCCAGTTGTAAAGGCAGCTACAATTAGGACTATATTGTCTGTTGCAGTGTCTAGAGGTTGGTCTCTTAGACAACTAGATGTTCAGAATGCTTTTCTTCATGGTTATTTGGAGGAAGAAGTTTATATGAGGCAACCGCCTGGTTATGAGGATAGGAATAAGCCTAATTATATTTGCAAGTTGGATAAGGCACTTTATGGTTTGAAGCAGGCGCCAAGAGCGTGGTATTCCAGACTAAGTATGAAACTTTGTGATCTTGGTTTTCAGCCATCCAAAGCAGACACGTCACTGTTCTTTTATAATAAAGGTAATATTGTTATTTTTGTTCTCATATATGTGGATGATATTATTGTGGCCAGTTCGACAGAGGATGCTACTAATGCATTATTGAGAGATCTGAAGCAGGAGTTTGCTTTAAAGGATTTTGGTGATCTTCATTATTTTCTGGGAATAGAGGTAAATAAGTTGAGTGATGGTATTCTTGTAACCCAGAATAAATATGCACTAGATCTGTTGAAAAGAGCTGGGATGTTGGACTGTAAGCCTGTGGATACTCCGTTGTCTACAACAGAAAAGTTGTCTGCATATACTGGTTCTATTCAAGATGCTACCAGGTACAGGAGCATTGTAGGAGCACTACAATATTTAACTTTGACAAGGCCTGATACTTCTTTTGCTATTAATAAGGTTTGTCAGTTCTTACATAGTCCTACAATGCAACATTGGATGGCAGTAAAGAGAATTTTGAGATATGTAAAGTCTTCTGTAGATTTGGGTCTGAAGCTTAATAGTTCATCTTCTACTATTATAAGCGCTTTTTCAGATGCTGATTGGGCTGGATCAGTTGATGACAGAAGATCAACTGGTGGTTTCGCTATCTTTCTTGGGTCCAATTTGGTTTCTTGGAGTGCACGAAGCAGAGTACGAAGCAGAGTATAAGCTACAGTATCCTGTTCTAGTACAGAAGCAGAGTACAAAGCAGTAGCTAATGCTACAGCTGAGGTTATATGGATTCAAACTTTATTGAAGGAAATAGATGTTCAAACACCGCAAGAAGCATGTTTGTGGTGTGATAATTTGGAAGCCATGTATCTTTCAGTTAATCCGGTTTTTCATGCAAGGACAAAGCACATTGAAGTTGATTATCATTTTGTTAGAGAAAGAGTGGCTCAAAAGCAATTGGTTATTAAGTTTATTGCTTCTGGAGATCAGATTGCAGATGGATTTACTAAGTCTCTTTCAGCTCAACAATTCAAGAATTTTGTATACAATCTTAACTTAGATAAGTTATGATTGAGGGGGGCTGTTAGAGATAAAGTATGGTTTAGATTTGCATAGGCTTAGAGATAAGTCTAGAGTTTGTTTCTCACATGAAACAATGTTTTATCTCTTGTAATCGGATCCAAACTGATTCAATCTTGTAAGCCACGTTGAGGGTTCTTCTCAACAACATATAAATATTCATACGCGGCCTCGAGACGAGGTGAGAACGCTTACGCACTTTTACAGTGTTCGTGCGTGCCGGTCGACCTCGCACTGTTGGATATGGAGCTCGAGGAGAAGATGGCTGCTAGGGCATTGGGCAAGGGCATCAGCAGCAGCAACAATGGCTGCGAAGGCGGCGGCGACGAGCCCAAGGCGGCGTGGGAGATCGACCTCTCGAGGCTGCGTATCCGCCAGGGCGCTCCCGTCAAGCACGGCTTCCGCGGCTCGCTGTTCCGCGCGGACTACGATGGCCGCGACGTCGCCGTGAAGCTCCTCGACTGGGGGAAGGAGGGGTTCTCGACGCCCGAGCAGATCGCCCACCTGCGCGCGTCGCTCAGGGGCGTGGCCGAAGCCTGGCACAAGATCGACCACCCCAACATCACCAAGTTCGTCGGCGCATCCATGGCCACCGCCGACCTCAACATCCCACAAGGCCAGAGCACCGCGCCGCCGCTGCCGCCGCCGCCACCGGACACACCATGCTGCGTCGTGGTCGAGTACCTCACCGGAGGGACTCTGAAGAGCTATCTCATCAAGCACATGGAGCGCAAGCTCGCCTACAAGGACGCGTCCGCTTCGCGCTGTCAATGGCGAGAGGGCTGAGCTACCTGCACTCGAGGAAGATCGTGCACCGCGACGTCAAGACCGACAACATGCTCCTCGACGGCGAGCTCAACCTCAAGATAGCCGACTTCGGGGTGGCGCGCATCGAGGCGTCGGACCCGAGGGAGATGACCGGGGTGATGTGGACGCTGGGCTACATGGCCCCGAGGTGCTCGTCGGGGAGCCGTACAACCGCAAGTGCGACGTGTACAGCTTCGGGATCTGCCTGTGGGAGATCTACTGCTGCGAGATGCCGTTCATGGACCTCAGCCTGGCCGACGTCTCGTCGGCGGTCGTCCACAAGGACCTGCGGCCGGAGATCCCGCGGTGCTGCCCGCGCGACATGGCGCTCATCATGCGGCGTTGCTGGCACGCCAACCCGGCGGCGCGGCCGGAGATGGAGGAGGTGGTGGGGATGCTGGAGGCGCTGGACATGAAGAAAGGCCGTGGCATGGTGCCATTAGGGGAGACCGCCGGTTGCTTCTGCATCTCCCTCAGGCGCCGTGGATCATATATCACTGGTGGAGAAACCCTTTGTAGTCCCGGTTCGTAACCCCCCTTT